TCAAGAGATGCGAAACCTATTCATTTTAGCCCAACTACAAGAGAAAAATTAAAGCAAGATTATAGGATATTCCAAACTAGTGTTTTTATTAGTATTCTACATCCACGCGTGATACTAATTCAGCTCCCTTAAATGATGGTACATTTACTTGAATTGCCAGTGGGGACCACAAAGGCCCAGGAACACTCTAATACAAGGCAAGCAGGGAAGGACTAAATAGTATGCTTCAATGTTATCCCTAGTAATTGTGATATTCCCAGAATGCAGTTAGTCACACACAGGAACGCTAGGCAAGCTGGAAGGTTCCTGATAAGGTTGGAAACAGACCAAGAATGCTATTAAAACAAAAGATTGTTGTAATTTTTTTAAATGCTCTATTATTTTAACTAGATTGATTTTCTTCCCTGACGCCAATACACTAATAGGACAAGAACAGGAACAATAGGGGATGTTACTTATTGCATCAGGTGTTGAATGTTAAAAACATAGAGAATTATTCTTAACCTACCGAGCCCTGATGGCACAGTACCTAAGGCATTTAACCATTAACCAGAAGGTTGGTGGGTCAAACCCACCAGCCACTCCACAGAAGGAAGATGGGGCAATCCACTTCCATAAAGATTTACAGCCTCAGAAACCCAATGGAGGTCACCATGAGTTAGACTCAACTGGATGGCAGTTTTTTGTTTTGTTTTAACTCTTACCAAAACCAAAAAACCAAACTCCATGTCATTGAGTCAGGTCCAACACACAGGAACCCCTCCTTGGATTTCTGAGGCGATTATCACTACAGAAGTAGACTGCCCAAACTTTCTTCTGGGGAGTGGCTGGTGGGTTTGAACTGCCAGCTTTCTGGTTAGCAGTCAGATGCCTTAGGCACTATGACACCAGAGCTCCCTTTAATTCTTAATCTGGGTATAATTCAGTAATTTTATAAAGGCGAAAAGTCCTGGTGTAGGTAGGGTATTTTCCCTGATAAGGTAAAGGATAAAAACATCCAAGGTAAGAAATGTATCACATACTCACAAAAAAGGCTTTAAGTACTGGGCCCAAGAGCAGTTCTCTCCAATGGAACTGTACATATAGGCACTAAAATCTAAGTCCACTGCCATCGTGTCAATTCCAACTCAAAGTGACCCTACAGACAGAACTGAACTGTCCCATAGACTTTCCAAGACTGTAAATCTCTATGGAAGCAGACTGTCTCAGCTTTCTCCTGCAGTCTGCTTCCATAAAGCTGGTGGGTTTGAACCGCCAAGCTTTTCATTAGTGGGCGAATGCTTTAACCGCGGTACCACCAGTTGTTGTTGTTGTTAGGTGCCGTCAAGTTGGCTCCGACTCATTGTGACTCTATGTGCAACAGAATGAAACTTTGCTCGGTTCTGCACCATCAGAACTCCTAAATGTAAGCACTAGAAACCTTCAAAGTTAAAGGTCTGGTACAGCGTCTTTTCAAAACATGTTTCAGAGGATCCTGGACCCCATAAGAAGTGCTTTCCCATATGCAAATATGCTATCTACCAAAATTCACTATGCAAATATGCTACCTACCAAAATTTAAAGGCAGCAGACCACCAACACGTATTCATACTGTCTGAGTCTGTTTCAGGCAAACGAGTAAAAGGATTATCCCTTCTGTTTTGAAAAGGATCCTCAAATTGCAAGACAAATTGTTTAAAACCCTCCACCAACTGCAACTATTTTCTCTCATGAATAAGGACTTTCTTCATCCGTTAGCACTATACAGGAGAAAAACAACAAAATGGATGCTGGGGCTGATGAAAGATAAACATAAGGCCTAACTTCAGGATTTTAATTTGGATTTAGAAAAAGTTTCTAAATACAAATGACCTCATAAATAAATGTTATACATTTGAATAAAATGAATTATGCATTAAAAATGTTGTCTGAGATGGCTATCCAAGGTATTGGCCTAGAGCAACAGAGAAAGAGGGGAAGTCAAGACTCGGAGGAGGAAACGGGATTGTGGTTAACTGCCTCCATAACCAGTTGCCTCATTTGTCAGTAAACTGTAAGAACTGGATGGTGTCTGGCTTCTATTACAGAACATTTTGATCAGAGTCCAGAAAAGAATCCTGACTTACAGGGAGAAAATGCAGAAGAGAATTTCAAATTCTCATAGAACCCAGACTTTCTGGAGCCATGGAGGGTCAATGAATCTAATCCCCAAAACTATCACCGAGACAACCTTTAAACCTTAAATCTTCAACCAAAAACATCCCCTGAAGTCTTCTTAAAACCAAATAATCATGTAATTTAACTAGTAAAAGAATGTCCACTTTAAGCATTAGGCTCTTTTAAGATCTGTCCACCTGGTATCGAAGGAGCTTTGGTGGTACAGTGGTTAAAAGCATTCAGCAGCTAACCAAAAGGTCACCGGTTTGAACCCAATAGCCCACCACTCTGCAGGAGAAAGCTGAGGCAGTCTGCTTCTGTAAAGATGTATTTATACCCTTAGAAGCACCATGTGGGGCATGTTCACTCTGTCCTGTAAGTCACAGAGTCAGAATGACTTGATGGCAATGGGTTCGTTCTTGGTTTCTTTATATGGAACTGACAACATTACCTTGAAAGATTAGATAAGAGACTTAGAGGGCAGTGACTTTATGTCAGTGAGGGAGGAACCTGGAAAAGGAGGGTGAATACACATGGTTGTGCGACTCAAAGAATGTCATCAATGTCACCGCACTGTACATGCAGAAGCTGAATTAGTATTTGTTATGCTGTATATATTGTGAACAAAAAATAAATTATGTGTGTATGTGTATGTAATACATTTACAAAAAACAAAAAACCAAACTTACTGCCATCGAGTCAATGCTGACTCAGCAACCCCAGTTGGGTTTCTGAGGTGGTAAATCCTTATGGAAGTACACTGTCCCATCTTCCTTCCACTAAGAGGCTGGTGGGTTTGAACTGCCAGCCTTCTGGCTAGCAGTCAAAATGCCTTAGGCACTATATCACCAGAGCTGCTTCATATATATGTAGCCGTCTGTGTGTGTGTGTACAGATATCTATAGCTATAGAGAGATATCTGTATCTATTTTTTTCTGGCCTGTCAGAAACTTTTTCTAAGCCGAGAAAGACAATACAATTTAATGTGAGTTCTCTTGAAAAAGTAGAAAGAAAGCAGAGACCTGGAGTATCTACAAATATTTCAAATAAATTATATTCATGGCTTTGTTGCCTAAGAGCTTACAAATCACACGAGCATATATTATTTCGAGGGACCCAAAACCAATACTGTGAAAATACTCAGATAGCACCACTCCCTTTTACAGATGAGGAAATAAAAAGCACAGTCACATTTCTCAGGATCCACACTCCTCAGTATAGAAGAAGCAGACTCAAAACCAGGTCATCAAACTTCAAATTCAGAGTTACCTTCATCACAGAGCTACAGTCTTTCACACACACACACACACACACACACACACACACACACACCTCCCCACCAGTTGTGTCCAGCAGCCAGAGTGAGCTTTGAAATTGTAAAAGTAAAAGGTGGTAACACAATACCATTTTTAAAGTCTTCTATTATTTCCCATTATATTTAGATAAAAATCTAAAACATCCACTTGCCATACAATGAATGCCCTGTATGATCTGGCACTTGCCAAGTCTGCACTCTATACTACTCTATCTCCACTGGGCTCCTTGCAAATCCTCTTACAACAAGCTCTTCCCCACCTAACCGTCCACACTAGCTCTTTCTTCTGCCTAGAAGACTCTTCCCTCAGCTAGGTAGTTCTCAGAACTTGGCTCAAACATCACAGTGCATTCCAAAGCAGCTTTCTCACGCCTCAATCATCCTCCACCATACCACCCTGCATGTTGTCTTCTTTAACAAGATCACCATCCCAAATCACATCAATCAGATCACTCACTGATTGTGTACATCCATTCTCAGGAAGGTAGGATGGTGTTCGTCACTGTCAGAGGCCTAGAAACAATGCCTCGCACACAGCAAGTGCCTTGCACACACAGCAGGCACTCAATGAGCATTTGTAACATGAAAGAATAAATTTGAACCTTAAGATATGCATGAAACAAGTAAGGTAAAATAAAATACCAAACACAGAAGGAAACATTCTACTGTTAGCATCTGCAAGTAGATAGGCTGGTATTCACTGGGTTCTATCACCAAAAGAGCCAGGAACATACTTCTCGAAGCTCACTGGAAACATGTCAAGTCCAACGGTTTCACATAAGTTCAGGTGCTATACGCTAGCCCACATGTATGACATTGCAAACAATTTCAGAAAATTCTATTATTTTGACACTCCAAAAAAACCTATAATGTACACAAAAAGTAATAAACATACTTACAAACCACCTTCCACTTTACTAAAGAAAAAACAGTACTTATGAAAATGGTATTTATCTGTGAGTAAATTAACACTAATTAAACTTCAACCTCTTTTGCAACAGGTCCTTCTAAAAAAAGAGGTAGGTCTTCAAAACAAGTTCTGCCAAATACCTACAACACTCAGAGGATGCCTCTTGGCAGGAATGATGCAACTCAAATAAAAACTTTATAACATTTATCATAATGTTATAGCTTCTTTTAACTCCTTAATGACTAAAAGTTTTGACCAAGAGGGGAGAAAACTAGTAGTTACTACTGAACTAGTAGGAAAACGGCTTAGAACCTTTATTCAAATGTCATTCAATCACAAAAATTTGGATAATACATACAAGTTTAGATAAAGAAAAAAAAAAAAACAAGTTAAATCTAAGCATTTTCTTTTACTTAAAACTTGTCCACTATTCAAGAAAATGATCTGTATAATAAATGAGTCTTGATAAGTAAAAAAAAAAATATATAAAATATGACAGGTTAAAAACAGCTGTCATATTTTAACAAGCACTACTGACAGGCGACTTAGAAGAAACAAAAATTCAGTAACTTGCCTTCAGATTCCTTCAAGCAACTACCAACAGTGTGGTCATGAATGCTGGCGCTCTACGGCACTCACCTTGGGATGGTAACACATTTAGTATTACAATTCTGAGTGGTGATGGCTTTCTCAAGCTCATCTAATCGTCCTGTTTTCTTTAGCTTCTTCACCAAACTTTTAACTGCTTTCTCACACCACTTTTCTTCCTGTCCGTTCTGCTCGCCTCCACCTGCCCCTCCAGATCCACCAGCCGATTTCTTCCATCCCAGCAGTCTCTTCACAACTGGTGGAGTGAATGGCAAGATGGACGACATGTTCTTACCAAAGGCAGCAATCCACACTAAGAAAATCTCCTCCTCTAGCTAACCTAGAAAAGAAACGGAAAGGACCATTCAGAGACTCACTTTAAAATCAACTCATACTCTGAACACAGTATCGAAAGCAAACTGCAAAACCAGATACAAATTTAAAAAAAAAAAAAAAAAACTTCCAGAAGTTTTCTTCTCAGTCATAAAAATCTTGCCTTTACTAATTTAAATTAATTTTAGAAAACATGGTAAGAACTCAAGTCTTGTGGGCAACTGTAATAATTTTGCAAGTAAAATCTTTGAACGTCTCATCACTTTGAAAAATTTCATCACTACTAAAAAACATAACTTTACTTTTAACCCTTAGGAGTGTCCATCGAAAGGAAGGTTGGGCAATCTACTTTTGTAGTGATACCACCTCGGAAACCCAAGGAGGTGTCGCTATGAGTTGGGTCCGACTTGAAGGCACATAACAACAGTAGTGTCTATAATTAAAATATTTTCATCAAAAAAATCAAGTTGTTCTCACTTTTAGGACTCAATCTAATCCCAAAAGACTTTATACAGAGAGTTGATATGTAAATATACATATAATTTACAAGCCTACTACCTTCCTCACTGAATTTTTTTAACTGGCTTAATAGTATCACAAAGCATATCCTTAAGTCATAGGAAGGTAAAATGCATCAAGTGAGAAGTAAACAACAAACATAAAGAAATAAAGGTAAACAGAATCTGCAGAGATTTGGCTCCCTTCTACCATCCCTTGAGAGATCTTTTAATTAAGCTCTTTATTAAAAAGTATACTTTCATCTAAGTAACAACGTGCATAGTGAGTAAAGTCAAATACAGCGCCTCTTTCCAAGCTCAGGCACAATTCTTTAGAACCTTTTAACTCTTTCCCATTGCCATTCCAACTCACAGCGATCCTATAGGACAGTGCCCAACTGTCCCAATGAGTTTCAAGGATGTACTATTTACAGAAGCAGACTGCCCCATCTTTCTCCCACTGAGCCGCTGGTGGGTTCCAACTGCCCAACTTTTCAACTAGCAGCCAAGCACTTAACCTCCAGGGCTCCTTATTCCTAAATAACGGACTTACAATGATACCCCTGAAACGGCAAGTTAAGGTATCACCTACTGATGGGGCTATGGAAGATGAAGATTTAGTGCCCTTACAACACCACCACCATCACTCACGTCCCTTCCTCCAACCTCAAAACTAATGGTATCCCAATGAGATTAGCAATAAACTACTACAGAATCACGTTTCCCTTCGTGTACAACTTTTCTTCTTCTCAAAGTTAATTCTTACTTTTTCATTTGCTTAGTTTTCTAGGCACCTCTCCAAAATTCTTCCCACACTCTCCAAAAGCCCATCAATGAAATTTTCCACAAATTCAAATGCATCAGAAATCAAATCATTCCATTTTAATCCTAGAGCCCTCCCATCCTGCAGCCCTGTGTCCTTCCACTCCAGACTGAACTAACAACCCTCTGACCCCCTGTACTTGGTAAACAGCGTCTACAGAAAAGAGAATTCCCTTCCTCTCTCATTGGGCTGGGCCCCCTATCTCTTAATATCATGGCATCTATTATTCCAACACAGTCTATCATTCCTGAGAAAGAAGTATGGGAATTAAACTTGGAGACAGTGTATAAAAGTCTTTACTTGACTTGACCAACTTAGTATGGAAGACTAGTATGTACACAGATCTTTTACTTTTCCAAATAACTTGGTTGTTTCTTCTACTTACTAAAGTATTATTTGCTATTTTCAAAATATCCTTATGCTACTAACAAGGTCATTGTTAATCCCATCTCTTACATTAAAAAATTATTAAAATTGGTCTAACATAATTTTTCTTAAAATACTTTAAAAAAGCAAATCCCAGATATTGCCATTTAACCAATATCTAACTCAGGATCCATTATTAAAATTATGGAGATTTTCTTTTAGAATCATTGTCATATATTGGAATCATCTGCATAACCCAACAGGAGCTCTGGTGATGTAAAGCCTAAGGCATTTGACTGCTAACCAGAGGGCTGGCGGTTCAAACCCACCAGCCACTCCTCAGAAGGAAGACTAGGCAATCTATTTTCGTAGAGATACTGCCTCGGAAACCCAAGAAGGGGTTGCAATGAGTCGAATCGACTCAACAGAAGTGAGGGTTTTTTTTTTTGTATATAACCCAAGTCATATATCAAAATTTTCCTGTTTCTTTATGAAACTGACTCCTGAGACAGTCTCTAGAATGTCCTCTAGTCTACACCCATCTGCTACCTGGTGGTGCCGTTAACTCTCTCCTCCATCTTGTTCTCCTGTACAGTGGAGGTTAGCTCTAAATGTTTAACTTGATCAAATTGCAACTTTTGACAGTAACAGATGCTGTGTGATTCATACCGCACCAAATCTCAAGGGGTCCACAATGTTTGGCTGTCCACATTAGCAATATTAAGAGTGATCAGCTGAACTTCTGCCCTGCACATTTTACCCCCTTTTCTATTTCTAGTATTTTCATCCATTAACAATCTGAATAATCTAAATCTATTATTTTATTTGGGCAATTTTCTAATTCTATTTCATCCACATTTACTAGTAGGAATTTTGCAAAGAACTTTTTCTCTCATCAACTATGACTATGTAGTTATTCTAAAGTACAACTCATTCAGGCGAAAGCATATTGAATCCAAGTTAAAAGCAGGTTAAATGCATCCATTTCAATTGTAGTTTTCAGAACAAGAAGTTTGTGCCCCAGCTAACTCCAATGGTATCTAAAGGAGTGAGTGTGTGTGTGTACGCACGTGCACACACACATGCACACAACTGCATGAGGGGAAATCATTATCGTTGTTGTTATTTGCTGTTTAGTAGGACCCAACTCATAGTGACCCCTCCTTGGGTTTCCGAGGCAGTATCACTATGGAAGTAGACTGCCCAACCTTCCTTCCAAGGAGTGGCATTAGGAGCTAATAAACCAAAAAAAAAAAACCTCACCACTGTCAAGCCAGATCTGACTCACAGCGACCCCTTCCCTTGGGTTTCTGAGGCGGTATCACTACGGAACTAGACTGCCCAATCGTCCTTCTGAGGAGTGGCTGGTGGGTTTGAACCACCAGCCTTCTGGTTAGCAGTCAAATGCCTTAGGCACTGTGCCACTAGAGCTCCCTAGGAACTAACAGGTTCTTATATATTCAGTATGTTTCAATCAATCAATCGTGTGTGTGTGTGTGTGTGTGTGTGTGTGTGTGTGGTTTTTTTTCTTTCCTTTTCTTTTTTCTTTTTGATGATTAAATCTTCAGCCATTGGGAACCCCTTCAAATCTGGTCTTTTTGACATGACCCCAGTAGTCTGACAGCTTGTCTTCCAGCACACAAAAATACTGCAAACTCATCTTATGTTTTTCTTACTCCCAGATCTGAACAGCTATTCCCCGAAAGAACCCTGTTTCTTCTTAGTGAAGAACAGCATATAGAAACCAAACCTGGGAACTAGCTATTTCTTTGTTATCTCGTTTGACTTAGGAATCATACAAATGTTTTTAGATATTCCAATACTAAAATCTTAATTTTCATTTTTTTTTCTTTTAAATTTTATTTTGATTTGGGTGAAGATTTACAGAGTAAATTCACTTTTCATACAGCAGTTCACATATACTTTGTCTCATGTCACTGACCAAAATTTACAATGCAACAGCTCCCCTCCCACTTCCTCCCCACAGTTACCTCTTCCCAGTGTCCATCCCTCCATACCCTTCTGCGCCCTGAGCTGTCTCCCTGTGCATAAGCAATCCTTCCTTCTCCCATGATTGTTCTCTTCAGGGTGTGTGTCTACTTGAGGTAAATGTTTAACTCACTTGCCTGTTCTTTGGCTGGAAACCACAGGTGTGGGTTCAATTCCAGACCTGAAGGGCAGCTAGGGGCCATAGTCTCAGTGGTTTCACCAGGCTCTATTGGACAAGCAAACCTGGTCCCCACCTTCTTTTTTTTTTTTTTTTGCCTCCAAATGATTTTGAGTTTTGTTCCACATTGTTCTCCCTCTCTATGCAGGCTCTCCTACATCCCTTCCAAGTGGATGACAGTGGTAGCCGGGCACCATCTAGTTCTTCTGGTCTCATAGTTGTATAGGTTGCAGATCAGATGGTGTACCAGTCGCTAGGACTGATTGTTTCCATTCATTTGGTTTTCTTCTTTCTTCTTGACGAGGAGACACCCATTGTTGCATCTAGATGGCAGCTTGCTAGCTTTTAAGATCCCAGTCGCTACTCGCCAAAGTAGGAGGTGGAACAATGTTTTGTATAGTATGTTATGCCAATTGAGCTTGATGTCCCCTGCGACTATGGTCCCAAGCCCACAGGATCAACTACTCGGTCCCTCTGGGTAGCTGGCTGTGACCAAGCAATGACCATAACCTTGCCCCTTCTCAGCTCTACTATACACCTGGGAATTCTGATCACTCACATAAACTTATAGGACCATTGTCTGCCAACCCTATATATGATCTTGGATACACTCCCCATTTAGACATACCTAATTGTTTAGCCTGTCCACCTATCTATCTGTCCATATACCCGTTTGCCTTCACTGACACCTCAGTACTGTATATGCAAAAGGGTTCATATTTGTTGTCTGTACTTCCCATGTACCTCTCTATGTCTTTCTCATCCTCAATGCTGCCATATTGGTCACTCCCATTTGGTACATTGCCCTTCTCTTCACCCAAATCAATATTTATCTCTATCTATCTAACAGCGTTCCCTCCCCTCCCCTCCCACCCCTGGTAACCAACAAAGAAAATTTCCTCCAATAGATAAACCTTTCCTTAAGTTTTACACTAACGGACTTATACAATATTTGTCCTTTTGTGACTGACTTATTTCACTCAGCATAATGTCCTCCAAGTTCATCCACGTTATGCGGTGTTTTGCAGATTTAATTTTCATTTTTAATGAAAATAGTGATGCTTATATTGTCATTAGTTTGGTCCTTAGAAATCATAATGATCAGACAATACGTATATATTTCAAGATGTTAACATTAAAGAAAATCCTAAAAT